GACGCGGATATAAAAAAGCCAAGGTCGAAGGTGGGAAGGGGGGAGGGGACAAAGCTCGTCGTTGTGTATCGTTCGATATGGTGCAGGGTAGGTATACTGATCCCATCGCGGCTGGCCGTTTCATCGTCTCGGGTCCGAAGTGCATTTGGCCATCAAATAACATCCATAAAGTCAGCTTGGCCGAGCCACCCCCCGCTATCTTGTACATACCTTGCTCGCTTTCTTGGGCTTCTTTCTCGTTTCGCGTCTGAAGGTGGAGTGAGTGGGTGTGGGTGTAATACCTTGCCACAGCGGTGCCATCACTAACTCGTGATCAGACCACCTTCGAACTACTATACTGCCCTTACCAGAGGCGAGTGAGTATCGTACGATATGGGGTGGCCAGGGGCTTACGCGGGAGAGCGATATCGGTTGATTGGGTCTTTGCGCCCTTGGGCTGCTGCTTACATGTATATACTGGCGAGCGTCGCTCGTTACGCTATTTTTTTTTTTTTCCTTCTTCCGTGAAGCTTTGACGTCGCGTTGTTGGTTACTGATAAAGGGAGAAGATTTTTAGGGAGAAAATATATGAATTAAAAGTTTTAGCGGCTAATTTATCAGATGTCCATATCAGAAGTGTTTTTTTTTTTTTTTCAAAATTAATCAAATCAAGGATTTATTCTTTTACTTTCACATTGTAAATTGAAGCAAAGGTGGTGAAAAAAAAAAAAGAAATATATTTTTACTTGACAATAAAATCAAGCAAGTCATCATTATTTACATTGATTAACATTTGTATTTACAAACTTTAACGACGTAAAATATACACCTAATATGTACGAAGACTGTAAAAATTAATTAAATATTATTTACAAATTCTGTTGACTATGATGTTATACATATATACTTAAACTAATCACGTTTAAAGATTCTAATGCTAGCACAAGTTTTATTTATTATTTTTTTCATTCAAACGTTGCACACTCAAAGTATTAAAGAATAAGGTAAGTATTATGTACAAAAATGTAAACATTGTAATTTTTCATCAGTTCACTCGACGTGAAACTGACTGGGACCTGCAAATCGCATTGTAAAATATAACATTGCAAGGTTTGGTCCTTCACAGTTATGAGGATACATGACACACCAAGTAGAAAGTATCAACCGATGGCTTCGAAAATCAAACTTGCCATTATTCCTGTATTTACTTACAGCTGCATAAAATGGGTTTTTTTTTTTTTAATTTATAAAACGTTTCAAACCGCATTAGTTTATATTATTGTGAATGTCATTAACCGCAAAGCGATGGGAAGAAAGACTATTGTAGAGGCAACTCTGTGCAGTCAGTGAAGTCTCGCGAGTATTTTGATATTGCATCGAATCGAACCGTATACAATTTACACGTTTAATTTCGTTAGCCGGGCAAGTTACACCGCGCGTTGGAATGGATATATCTGTAGGTAGGTTGAGGTACAAGGATTGTGGATATTCATTTGAGTGCTGCGTTTATGTCACGGGAGTTTGGCCCAGGGCAAAAGGAGCCTATCCGAGTCGCCGATATTTCCAATTAAGTTTCCCGGTCGGGAGTTTGCGGACTCGGCTAGATATCAAGGTTTGGGGGGAGGGGGGATGCCTTCACGGATTAGAGAGGATATCGAGCTCTCTGTGTACGGGAGAGCAAGCGAGCGACGACGATCTTGCGGACGCTCTTGGTTAGGGGGGTGGGGCAACAACTTGCCAATATCGGCATCACCGGCACCGCACCGAGCTGTATAAACGTTTATGACCCAGTCCGCCCTTCTCTTCCCTCCCGCGTGTATATGTACGCTCCCGGTCAATTCTGACCTCGTGCACCCCACCCGCCCCTTCCGCTGCTCTTGGTAGCTCGTGTTTTCTCTCTCAGTGGTGCTCAGCTGACCGGCTTTGGAACTCCTGTGCTTCTTTTTGAGTTTTCATAGTATACATTTGGTCTGCTTTGAATACGTCTGGTAAATGAGTATATTTTTTGGTATTTTCAGGAAAAAAAGTTGGTGCAAGGTGACGAAGAAATAAAAGGGTACGGTAAGAGGGAAACGGATATCAGCACCGGGGAGACCAAAATTTATCGAAAAGGAAGGGAGTTTTTCGTGGCTAATGAACACTGATTGCCGAGCGCTCCGCGATGATTTGTGGCTGCCGCTCGAAGATATCATTGGTGTCCCCATCGCCCGTCCACTTTACTCGCCATTGTCCCGCGCTTACGGATACGTGATTGAACTGCCCAATGGTCTTTGTGCCTCTATCAACTTATTGGACTTTACGGTGTCCCCTGGATATTACTTTCTTTCAATACCTTGGCCTTTGTTTATGGTTTTCTCCGTATCAGGATCTACCAGATTTTCTCACCAAGGCCGGATGAACGTCCAAATTTAATAAATTTATTGTTATGAATACACATTGTATTATTTTCTTTGGCTGGTGATAAATCGAGTGGTTATATGGGGGAGCCGTACGATTGTTTGGCAATCCGTTGCCCTTCACATAAATAAATATATTGTGCTCGTATCATTCGGACCTTTTATAATAATAAGGAGCCATAATTGTCGATGGACGGAATTATACGTGTAAGCGAACCATAAGAGAGGAAGGAAAAAAGAAAAAATAGAGGAAAGTAAAGGCAAAAAAACCAGGGTATTCTCGTCATTAATTATTTAACACCGGGATCCCTTGATCCTCGACGCGCGGGTTGGCCGATCCGTGATCAGCGGGCGACCGTCTGAGATTACCTTCCGTATACGAAACGTCTCGCAGCTCGTTACGCGGGACCCTCTTTACCAATTTTCCTCCTCAAAGCGCCATCCCCTTTGATCAGCTCTCCTCCTCCTCCTCCTGCGTTGATATTATGTACTCGACGCGACTCACATCGATGCGATTTCTCCCTTTTCCCGTCGCACCCTTTATCATTACTCTTTTTTTTCCCCTCCTTTTTCCATTTTTATTAACAAAATTTCCTCGAGGGTTAACAGATCGATGCATAAAATTACACCCACCAGGATGGATCGGTGATTTGCATCAATGTTTCCGATTATATAGTAATTTATTCATCAAAGGTATGTAACGTGCACGCACTCCCGTCGAATGGAAACAAAATTATTTCAACGATTTGCATGTATTAGTACGGGGTGCAGGTATATATATACGCACGGGTGCGCGCGAAGAAACACGCGCGCATCCATACGTATTTTTAATTGAATTCACGAGACTCGAGGGCTGCGCAGTTCGATGATCTTTCGTGTGCTAATGGTAATACGCCACTTCCGCTCTGTATACCGTACTTTTCGAGCTCGCTCGGGCGCACTTTTTTTCATGCATCGGGCGAGGAAAGATGAGATACGATACAGGGGTATTAGCATAATCGAGCTTGTCTCTCCTTAATTGATTCCAGTCGTACAGCGGCGCGCGTTTACATTGCACTCTGTAGTGGGTTTCCACATCGTGTTTCCGTTCGATTTTACAAATTAAGAAAGAAAACATAAAATACGATGCGCGTAAAGCGAATTTTCTTTTCCAGTTCACATTTGTCATTTCCGCTCTTTATCTCCCGTTAATAGGCCATAAAAAGCAGTGCGTAGGTGTGTAACCACAATAGAGGGGCCATCATCATCCGTCCTACTGTTCTCATCCGTATTCTCCGCAGCGTCGATATTTCTTGATTCTCCTTATACGTTACCTTTGACGCATCGCTCGCCATACCTCGATATCAAATAAATAATCGCGCGCGTTATTTTTCGTTACAACAGCCGAAGAAAACAAAAAAAAAGCAACGATTGTACAAAAGGGAAAAAAAAAATCTCGTCAATAGGTGCCAAAGTTCGAGAAGCACCTTATACACGAGAGAGAAATGTCCACGGGAATTTGTCAGTGTTAAATAAATGACCCATAAAAGCGAGGCATCAATCCCGCGGAGGCATTAACGCCCGATAGCGGGTCCGCGGCTGAGAGCTCGGGGCTGTTATTTTTCATACCACTAGCGTCTCTCGGCGCGAAAGGAAGAAAGAGGAGTTTGTCGAAGAAGAAACTTTTTTGTTCCCCTTATACTGCCGGTATGTAGGTTGTACTTCGAGCTTTTTACGGTCTATAAGTCGAGCTCCGTATACACACCGTGGCGTCGTAGATCAAAAGCGATGCGTCTATTACAACGTAAATACTTAACGACTGGCCGTTTTTTTTTCTCCCCCCCACCCCTCTTTTTACGCCCAGAGTAAACTCTCTCTCCCTCTGTCGATGTGTATAATGGCTGTACTCTGTGTATACGCGCACGATATGCGCAAGCTCGGCAATCATAATCCCATCAATCATTACGACTTCAATTAGGCCCGCGAGGCGGTTTCCAAGGCGTCACGGATAGCTTGAGTTTATCGCGAAGCGCGTCGGCAAAAAGTGGTGTCCGCGAATCGCCGATCGTCCCGGTGGTCTTTGGCGGCGAGCTTCTCGATCGCGAAGAGTCGATATATACACAACGGAGAGCTTGTACAGCCATCGGTGAAAGACCCGGTTGTGCGCCACTATGTGCCGTCGATTGATGCGATGCAAATCCTCCGATACACCCCCCCACACTTCCACGTATTTTCTTCGCCGACTGAGAATATTAGCTCGAGGTTTGATTGGCTCCGTTTAATGGCCCAAGCGACGCGCATACAAATTGCCGCATTTCGGGCTCCCAAGGTGGTGTTCCTTCCCCCTGTATGACGTTTTCTATCGCGGCACGTGTCTCTCTGTGCCATCCAAATATCGTCATTCATAGTGAAGTTTGCCGCAAACGCCGTTGAGTTTGTTGTTGGTTAATTAACCTCTCGTGGCGTGGCATAGGTCTCCCCCCCGCGTCGCGGTGTTACTCGGAGATATACGCGCGAGTTCACAAATTCACCGGTGATTGTTCGCGTCCAAGAATACCCCCTACCCCCAAACCGACCGAGCGAGGATCGATGTCGCGCGAGTCGCATGGCTTCACTTGAGCTCGCTCGTCCCGGAGACGGTGACCCATGGAGTTTCTCTTGTCGACCTTCAGGGTCCTGAGTGACAGCCACAATGCCGGTAGCGAGCCGCGCCAGCCGGACGAGTCGCCGCCCAAAACCGAGATCTTCCTGCGGATCCGACCCAACGATGACGACGAGGATGTCTACTCGGTGGAAGAGGAGCCCCCTGCCCTGCTGGTCAAGAGCAAGAGCCCCGGTGACTCGGCGAGACGCTGCTCGAAGCCAGGCACCTTCCCCAGAAAGAGGTTCGCCTTCTCGCGGATCTTCAACGCGGGCACCGACCAGAGGGGGTTCTTCGAGGGCTCGGTCGAGCCGAGCGTCCTGGACCTTCTGAACGGTGGGCGGAGCTCGACGGTTATCGGCTACGGGACGGCTGACTCCGGGAAGACGTACGGGTTGTTCGGCACGGCCGCGGAGCCGGGCGTCGTGCCCCGTGCCATCGAGCTCGTCTACTCGTCCCTCACTTGTACCCTGGTGCCCTGGTACAAGCCGCAACAGTTTGGCGGGGCGATACTCCACTTGAGCGAAGCCGAGCGGGTCGAAGAGGTGGAGGCCAAGGAGCAACTGTTGGCGTCTAGGTTGGCGCACGAGAGGTTGGCCAGCGAGGTTGCTTACCGGGAGCTCGAAGCCTCGGGGGTGGCCGAGAGGTCCCGGGACAGCTTGTGCAAGGACGCCCTGTACTCGGTGTGGGTATCCTTCATCGAGATCTACAACGACACGATCTACGACCTGTTGAGCGTTGACGAGGGTGGGAGGAAGGCCCAGCTGAAGCTGGCGGCTGATAAGCATGGCTCCACCTACGTCCAGGGTATGCGGAGCGTGTGCGCGTCGACGGGAGTGGAGGCCAACGAGATCTTGTGCGTTGGCCAGGGCAGGCTGAGTACCGTTGCCACCACCGTCTCGGGGTACAAAAGCTCGAGGTCGCACTCGGTGTTTATCGTCAAGCTTCTGGAGTACGGCAAGGACGCGGCGCCAGCCGAAGTCAAGGTATTGGTTGTCGGTTGGTTTTGGTTGGGTGATGAGTGGAAGGATTATGGCTTTGCAGATGGCGTCCCTCGTGTTTTACGACCTGGCCGGGCCCGGGAGGATACAGAAATCGGCGGAGAGCGGGGTGCAGCAGCGCGAGTCGCGGAGCATCAACACGAGCCTGCTTGCCTTGGGGAGATGTTTCAAGATCGCGTCGGAGGACCAGTCGAGGCAGAGCGTCGGCTCGTTCAGGGAGTCCAAACTCACGAGGATACTGCAGCGGTCCTTTCGGGACAGGGAGAACATACTGCTCCTGGTCAACTTGAATCCGAAGGCTTGTCTGCTGGCGGAGACCCAAAACATACTGAACTTCGCGTCGACGGCGATGAAGATGGCCGCAAAGGAGGACAGGGGAGGAGTCAGCTCCCAGGGACCGTCCAGCGCCAAGGGTCAGGAGGCGAATACTTTGGCGAGCGCCAAAGTGGTGCAGGAACGGGAGATTAACGACCTGGTCTGGAAGAACCAACAGCTCCTGGCCGAAGTCACGGAGCTCAGGGCGAGTAAGATCAAGAGGGAGTTTGAGATACGCCAGGAGCTGACGGGGTTCTACTCAAAGCAGATACACAAGCTGGAGGAGAACTGGAATAACCGCATGCGGGCTCTGGTCGAGGAAAAGGACGCCATGCTCAAGTTTTCGGTGGGCCAAGTCGAGAATTACTACCGGGGCAAACTTGAGGAAGAGAACGGCAGTAGGAGGCGCGCTAACGTCGATAGAGGGGATTGCGAAGAGTCATTTGACACGTCGAAGGAGTCGTTGAGGAATAGTAGTTGTACCGTTGATCTGCCAGTGCTAAAGAGGTGTTTTAGAGACATCAATCAACTCGTAGACGAAAAAAACCACGCGGAGAGTGAAAATTTCAAACTGGACGACGAAGTGTTGGAGTACATGTCGAATATTCGAGGATTCATCGAGGAATCGTTGGGCTTGAAAAAGTCGTCCGAGTCGACTTCAAAGGGGACCCAGTGTAGCTTGAGCAGTTGCATGGTTAAGGACTTTTTGTTGGAAATTCAGCAGTTACTGGACCCCTGTGTCGTGAGGCTTCCCGAAATCGATGATTCGCAAGACGATGTCACGAGTGACAACTTGATGGCGTCCTTTAGTAGAACCAAGGGTCTTCTTTTGGACAACGTTGTGAAAACAAGAGAGTTTGAAAGAGAAAACGCTGACTTGGCTAATGAAATCAACGATATGAACGAGAGAATGAAGTACCAGGATGGAGAACTGTTGCAGTTAAGGTTGCAGTACCAGGAGTCGGAAGCCGCCCGATTGCTGCTGTCGAACAAGCTCGAGGACGCGGAGGCAAGGTCCGAGTCCGAGAAAATGTTCAAGAACCTCGACTTTGACAGCCTGTCCATGTTTGGAAACGACCACGCCCACCCAGCAGGATCTTCGATCGACGAGATGTCCCAATTGGAGTTAAGTTTGGACAAGGTCGAAAGATCCAGTTCCGAAACCAGCAAAAACGACTCTGGCGTGGCGTCCAGCATCGAGAGCGCCTGCAAGTTGACGGACGAGAAATCCTGCCAGACGGACATTTCCTGCGAAACCAGGACGGATTTTTCCATCCAAGAGAGACTCGTCCAGCTGAAGCTCGACTACAAACACATGAAGTCCCAGCACATCCAGGAGACCCTAAAAGTTACGGAGCTGTCGCAAGAGTTGGACCACATCAAGGAGGCAATGGTCAGACTGAAGGAGAACGCCACGGCCAAGGAGCAAACCGTCAAGGAGTGCCAGGATGAGCTGCGCGCCACCAAACTCGAGATTGAACGACTGAACGAGGAAAAGCGAGAGCTGGAGATGAAGTGCGATGGATTGACCAGGAATCTATTGGTCGTCAAGAGGGAACACGAGTCAAAACTGGTTGAATCACAGGTGCGTGCGAGCTCGAGGTTTCTCCTGAGTAAAGAGGGGTTTCTAGGATTTCCGTTTCGCTCCAGGTGAAATTGAAGGCACACGAGGAAAGCGAGAGCATAGCGTCCAAGTGCCTGGAGAGCTACTGGGAGAAGTCGGTGAACCTCGGGAGCGAGCTGTCCATCGCGTACTCGGAGTTGGAGAAAAACTCGATCCGGTGCTACCGGGAGCACGTGCTCAGGATAGGCAAACTCGAGCGGGAGCTTGGTGAGAAGAGATCGAACGAGAGCAAGCTAAAGCTGAGACTGGCCGAGTACGAGAAAGACCTGGCTGGGATAAACGAGCTGTCGAGGAGGGCCAACAGCCTGGAGCGCCTGTTCGAGAGGGCCAGGAGTGAAAAGGCAGCGCTGCAGCGGCTCCTTGACGAGAGCTCGAGCTTTCAAGTGGAGGTCCAGGAACAACTGGATCGCCTGGTTGCCAGGGTGGCGGAGCGCGATGGCGAGATTTTGCTGCTGAAGGCCGACTTTGACGCCATCGTCCAGACGAACCTGTCCAACAGCAAGAGGGCCAAGGAACTCGGCCAGGAGGTGGTGAAGCTCATGGACAGGATACGCGCCATGAAGGTGGACATCCTCGAGTCCGAGGAGTCGCGCAAGGCGCTCGAGAAGGACGCGAGCGCGGAGATCGACACCCTCAGAGCCAGGCTGAAGATCTTCAAGGAGAACGTCGAGTTGCTGAACATCATTTCGAGCAACAGCGAGTCGGACGAGCTGAGGTGCAAGTTGCTGAAGAAACAAGAGGAGCTGGACTTTTTCAAGAAAAACAGAAACGCGACCATTCAGAGGTAAAATAAGGGAGGAGATGCGTATGGTGTGACATTTAATCCTCTTTTGTCTACAGGTACGAGAACCTCGTCCGTCAGCTCCAGGACGCCCTCAAGATGAACACGTCGAGTAGGGCGAAAAAAAAGTCTCCGTACTTGCGCAAGAGCTCGGGCTGTAGTATTTACGGATCGGAGCGGCAGAGCAGCCACGAGTGGAAATTTTTGGCCGACGAGCACGCCTCGTCTTTGTTGGGCACCGACGCGCGGACATCGTATTTGTACACTGCCGACAATTTCGGGACTGTCGTGAGCGGTGGGGAGGAGCCGACTCGTTTAAAGAACGATTCTTTTGATTGAAATGGTGTTGTTTTTGTTTAATGAGAAAATTTTTACGAGCGCGAGATGCGTTTCTTACCGTTGGAGTCTTACTTGTCTGTAATAATTATTCACTTGGTATTTTGTTTATTTGCGTTATTCTTAAGCTTTTTCATTAAAAAATTTATTGGGTTATCGCATTCGAGAAAACTTGAGTTAGGGTATGCAAAGTGTTGAAAGTCATACGTTTGTTGAAAATCATAAGATTCCCGTGATTGGTATAGTTTCTCCACATAATCATAATATTAGGAATGGCTAAAATTAGTTGGAATTTGGAGATGACATTTGCCCGTACAGGGTTGTATAAATAAATAAAAAAATTAACTTTTTTTGATATTATCTACATACATCCAGGGGTTGATTAATTGACGCACATGTAACTTTAACATCAAAAACGCGCAAAGCCCGAAGAGTAAAAGAACTATATAGCTGTGACCCCGAGAAGATAACCCAACTATCGATTGTCAATACTTTTGGCGCACAGTAGCAGCCTCCCTGCCCGCAATCGATTCCTTCCGAGACGCCCCATAATGGCAAGTCGCAGTATCGTTCGTTACAATTACACCCTAAGACCCTGCCCCCCTTCCTCGTATATGTACTACGGTAAAAGCTCGAATCTCAGAGCGTGGGTCAAGTGTACAAGTTTGTCCGGATCAAGGAGCTCCCAGTGGAGCAAGGGGGAGGCCGGGGCCATTGGATTTTATTGGCAATATGCTATAATTTTCGACATTAGACGCCGCTGACGCTTCGCGCTCATTACATCCCCTTGTATATACGCCTATACGCGTGACGACAGAAGAAGCATATCATATCACCGCCTCGTGCCATTAGTTTTTGCGCGGATCTTGATACGGGAGTTATGACGAGGCCATTATCGGAAATCCACTCTGATGGCTTTTGGCAAAATACCCTCTCCCCCAAGCTGATTACATCGCGTGCGGGGGGGATGGGAAGGAAATCGACAAACGAGATCTGGACCTCGAGATCGTTACGACTCTGTGTGTATACAAGGTACGGAATTATCGCCGCTGCATTGGTATTGTTCGGCAAGCAAGCTATTGTGCGGGCCCTTTTTTTCACCCCGAAAGAAATTTTCCGGGCGCTGTAGATTCCGGAAAACTCGTTATCGAGCGCGGCTGCTCGATTTTCTCTCGGAGCGTAGGTATACACGTAGTGTGGTGTCGAAGACCGCGAGGCAGCAAGTTTTCGAGGGGCAATTTTCGCCCCTCGTGCTTATACCCTCGCCTTCTTTACCGCGCGCGCGTGGTCGGCGCAACCCGGGTGATTTCTCCGCGCAAATGTACCGCGAACTTTCCTCTTTCAATTGGCAATAAGATTTGATCGTTGCGGGAAATATCATCCAATTTCCTTTCCTCCCTCTTCTTCTCCGTCCCCTCGAAGCCAACGCTCTAATGCCCCCTTTTTCTCTCTCTCTGGCGCGTCTTTTCCAGATCTGCCACCCTTACCAGCTATCCACGCGAACTTTGCCATCAGCCGTTCATCCCTGGCCTCGTGAAAGTGCAAAGGACCATCAACCGGTCCCCTCTCCTCCTCCTGTTGTCCGCTGATGCTCCCTTTCTTCTTCCGCTTCTGCGGCGTGGTAAGGGACATTTTACCCCCGATGGATTTAATCAGTTCGATGAATTTCAATTTGCCATTCGCGCATTTCACCCCCTCTCGAAACTTACGCTTTGTATGTAACTCGAAGATACATCGAGACTCTCATCGTTCGCCCAAAACGACCATTATTTTCAAACTAAACGACAAAACGTGATTTTTTTTTTTTTTTTTTATCTACATGCACAATCCAGCGAGACGTTCAATCAACCGAGCGTCGAGAAAGTTTCGAGGGAGACAGTAATTTCTTATTCGTCAAATAAATCTGAAATCAGTATATTTGTCACGATTAGTCGACTCCCTCTCGGAGGAGCTCGCGCGCACCTACTCTCTCCAGCCCGAAATTTTCATTAATTTCGCCAATCCGAGCGAACTATTGTCGCGCAGTTACGCACAATTTGAAAGCGACAAAGCTTTCGCGCCAACTCCCAACCCTTCGCCCACTTTGGACTGGGATTGACGTGGATGATAAGCGAGTAGCGGCAGGGGAGGGTCTGAAAAACGAGAGGAGGAACAGGCTAAACGCAACAGAGGCAGAGAGAGAGAGACTCGACGAGTATATATATATGTATACATATGTATACGGAGGGCGGGTGAGAAGTTGGTACATCAAGCCGAGAAGAACGGGGTAAAGAAAAAAAAAAGACCAAGTATATACGTATACAGGGGCGGAAAGTAGAAGTCGAGGGTGGCATAGATTAGATTTACTCGCGTCATTTACTCGCGGAGTTAGACCGATGACGTTCCTCCGGAATATGTCTATTCGGAAAAAGCGGATCGTCTTTATGGTCAAGGTGTACACCAACGATCATTTTTCGACGCGCATTTGTATGATGAACTGCAAAATCAACGGGCACCGACATCGGATTGGCTACTCGGATGTAAATGTATACGTGTGGGATTCTGTAGTTGCATCCTGGAAACTTTTCGAGGGGCGTGGGGAGCGAAGTTGGATGTATACGGAGAAGAAAGGAGGGGAGCCGGCAGAGCCGAACAATGTATAATGCAATTCAAGCGCCGAGGCGATGCAATGCAAGACGGGTGCAAAGTCTGAAAACGGGAAAAGCACACGCGCGGAGCAGCCAGACAATCGGACGACTCCGTTTTACGCAACTCCTATACATATGGGGGCTCCGTAATATACGTACTCGCGCTACGGTTACGCAATCGCGACAGGCGACGAAATAATATCGCCATGTGCCGACTTTGTTGTCCAGACCTTTCGATTTACCTGGCGTGGGTGCTCGCTTTTCTCCACTTGGCTTTTCAATATAGGGTCCAATAATGGCAGTGGCAATCGATAGAGTTACGTAAGCTGTTTTGAGAGCTCCAAGGTAAAAAAATATTGAAGAGTAGTTATACCGTTGTGTCATTGTTATTTCACGTTTTCGATATAATATACATAGATGCAATGAGTACATGTATGTGCTTATACGTGTAAAACATACCTTTGAAAAATCGTAAATTTTTTGCTATTTTGATCGTCCAATTCTTCTTAATTTACGGACTGCAGAAGACTGAAAATGTTTTTTTTTTTTTTTTTTTTCATCCGCACTCCCCCGCCTTCTTTTTGTACCTTTTCTTCCTTGGGCGTTTTTGAGGAGCTGGTGTGCCCTCAGTCAGAAAAGTAGAACTCGCCACCTAAGTGCCATCGTTACATGGCTACATTACGTCTCTCAGACTCTGTTTTACAGGTTTTTTGGGCTGAAAAATAGCCTCAAAGACGATGTGTGCTCACGGTGTGCTCATAGGCGCAAAATTTTACTCTGTACCTACGGCAAGAGAAATATTATACGCACCTGTCACCTCACTCATATTATAAATCACCTTAATTACCAGCTTATTCTTCAAACATGTGTTTTATAAGTCAAAATAACTCAGCACTTTTTACACGTATACAGCTAGCTTTTTTTGTACTGATTTTCAGAGAAGTTTGCAATTACGTATAAACCATTTATTAGGTACTATATTATCGCAGACCTGGGGAATACAGAGTCTTATGCTTTGAAAATCTCTCACACACTTCTAGAAATGCCTAATATCGTAAACTATAATTTTTGGTGTAGATAAATATATCATGAAGATTTAGTGTACATGTAGTCTTACTAATATATAAAGCAGAAGCGCTAAAACCGTTGTAATCACTAACCGCGAAAACTACTGGACCGATTTTGTTGAAATTTTGCACACTGATTCATGATACTTCCTAGATGGTTTTAGTATAGTTTTCATCTTAGAAAATTTAATAACAATAGCAATAAATGAGCTCAAAGTCTTGCAAAAATACTTAATCTTTTTACTTTAGTTCAGTAAAATCCGCTAGGTGGCGTCGACGTAACATCGAAGCTACCTGCAACATAATTAAATAAGTGTGGTTATAATAGACTGAAGCGTCGCCGTACTGTTGTAGTCGAGCTTCGGCATTTCAATGAGCTGTATAGAGAATGCTGATGATAGTCTTGCAGCTGGGTATCCCGGTTACGGATGACACTATTCTCTAAGGGGGAAGGGACCTACATGTCTATTCACCCTGAATGTAGACGAGTGCGATCNTTTTTTGAGTCACAAGTGAACGATCAAATATTCAGAGATTCGGGGATAACTATCATCTGGACCCTCGACGATACATATCTTTCGGAGGGTGTACTTTGCACAACGAATAAAAAAAAAAAATATATAAAGGGGGCACGCGTATCTGTTCGTCCCCCCACGCGATTGTACAGGGATTTAATAACGTCAAGTTTTATCGCTTATTTGTTTTGGTTCCCGAATCGCCTCTTTTTTTTTTACAGTAAGATATCAACTGGCCTCTTGATAAGGGATCCCAAAAATCGTCAAACCAACACCTGAGGCACGAAAAATGGAGATTCGTACGGGGAAAAATTACCATCCGGCCATTTACTTATCGCGTTTTGGAAATGTCGTAAGACCTATAAAAAGACCTATATAAAATTTAAAGAATGGGTCAATACAAAAAATAAGCATATATAGCTGCCATACTACTATATTTGTCGTTTTTTTATTGCATACTTGTATCAAAAATTGTGAAAAAGAAAGAAAATAATAATAAGAAAATCAGGCAGCAAGTTGGGTAGAGTGACTGCAGTGAGGCAGACACATAGAGATTAATATTTCGATTCACGTAACGAAAATTGCCGCTCAATTTAACAATTGACCTGAAATTCCATCGTGATAAACAGCGATTTCGTCAGACGTTTTTCGATTGAGAGGAAATCTTAGTGCTTTTGCCATAAGGAAATACTTGCGTGGGTTATTTTTTAACATTATTACAACAAATTAAATTTAAAATTTGCAGTGAATTTTATTTTTTGCAAAATACCACATGAAAACAGCAATCCATATTT